AAAAACTCTCTATATATTATGCTGTGCCCACACACCATTTAAACACAGATGAATTAATGCAAAACTTAACAGAGGCTCTTAGTGTCAAGCTATCTAACATTTGCTCAATGCACTACTAAGTTAGCCTGCTTTTGTAGTTTATTTTATTGAAGACATCAAATGTTTTCAGTCTTTCATTTCTGAGGATGGACTAGGTAGTTTTACATATGCACTTTGACACACATCCACTTAAGAAATACAGCCGAAAATAAACCGTGAAAGTCTATCCCTTTCACATGTGGTATTTTCTATTAATAGAATTTAGAGTATGCTACTTATGAGGTTGTTGATATGAGACATAACATATGTCTATGCAAAATATGCTCTATATTTGCTTGTTTTTTTTAATACTGATTTTATTGTACTTTTTGTGGCTATTGCTATATTGTTATTAAGTTTTAGCACTATATAATCTGTATATGTGTATATGTATATAATCGGTTCCCTTTTAATGTTTAATCTTAAGACTCCTATGTAAACGCCTCCTTTGCAAGAGTAGCAGTTCAGTGCTATGTTTATTTTGACCTTTGGGTTTACTGTTTAGTCCAGGGGTCAGGAATTTTTACCATTATGATGGCAAAAATAATGTTTCCCCATTGATGTTCATTCAAAAGTAACCCTGTATTCTGATTCTGACATTTTTTCCCCCAAGCATTTATCTATAATTACAACCATTTGTGTTTGATTTTTAAAATATTAATTAACATATTTTGATTATTAACTCGACATATATTAACTAGCAATATTTTTTTTTTAATCAGGCACCAAATAGAGATCACTTTATTTACTTTGGGGTCCAGGGAGGGTATGATTTTGCACAAGACCTATACAAATTTGCCAACTTATATGATGTCCTAAAAAGCATGTACTCTTTTTATTATGGAAAAGTGCATACATTAAAGGCAGGGTATGTGATATTTAAAAAACACTTTAGAAAACTGATTCGATCCGAATAGCAAAACAAACTAGTAGCCAATCAGCAATAAGGGGCGTGTCTACTCGTGATGTGGAGGAGAGAGCTTTCAGTGCATGGGACGGACATTAGCCGAGCCGAGCGACAGAAAGATAGAGATGGTGGATAAAAAACAAAAGAGGAAAACGTCTGAGGAACGTAGTAACGAATTAAAACTACTCCGTTACTGTCCACCACTGCGTACGTATATGTGGGGCGGAGCTATCAAAATAGGGGCAAGACCCTTTTGGGGTAGGGGCGTGTTTGTTTTGGTAATTTCAAATATCAACATTGGCTACCAGAAATCACTTACTCTGCCTTTAAGAGTGTAAAAAAGGGGGCATGCAAGGTATGGGACAAACTACCACTTTACGTTATATTATATTAAACATTTTAATTGTGTTGGCGTTAATAGCCTTGGACATTTTCCCATCCTGTACCCCCTCTCTCCCTCTCCCACATCACTTCCTGTCTCATATACTCTCTTATCATAACAAAAAGGCAAATATGCCAAAAATGAATCTTTAAAAATATATTTTTAGATCGACTTCATCCTATGTTACCTCAAAAATAAAAGGCAGCTGGTTAGCAGCTGTCTCCCGTTTGGAAACTCGCACAGCATCTTTTATGTACTAGTAGACCTGTCACTCACCTCGTTGCCATGGTTTTGCAAAAACTCCACTTCCTGTTGGGAGAAGGTTGTCATGGAAATAGACTTAACTCTGTGGGGTGGGTTGAGCCCTCTCCTGAAACAGAAACAAACTGCGTGGTTAAACGCGAAACTGGGAAGAAACGTTCAACGGGTTGGCATTTATTCGAACACAAACAATATGAGATAAACGGTGCAGGACGTGAAAGAGCCGTGAACGTGATAGTAAACTGCAAGAACCTCTTGCAGCAACAAATTACAAAACCGTGAAGGAAGCGGGCTGCTTTTCCCCCCCTCCGGTGTTCGTGAGTGCAGTTGCAAACTGAAGTCGTGTAAAAACTGCAGTGGACACACACCATTCCTTTGCGGACATGCAGAAAACACGCTTATATGGATGTCAAACCTGAAATCGTGACGGAATGATACGTAACGCAAGCGAGACTGGGGCACGCCTGAAAACGACAAAGTAGTAATTACCGACTGTCTTGAATGTAAACACAACTAGAGATCTCTCAAACTCACGCTGACAGCGCTGCATTGTAGCCACGTATTTTCCAGAGTTAGCTGCAGAATAGCCTAAACAAAACATAAACATCTTGACATAATCACTCGGCTGTAATAATCGCATGCATTAGGCTATCACTCACAGCATTCCAGAGCACGACGTGCATACGAAGCAGCCCACAGTGATGTCGATGTAAGTCACCCCAGGCTGGCTGCACTCGAAGCAGTGCTTGTTCACTCCCGTCTGGGCGAGCTCTCGGACCTTGCGGGCGCATATTTCCTGGTTGTCCCGGTGCTTTCGGTTCGACATGCTGGTGTCCTGCAGTCGCACACACCCCCTGGCCCTCAAGACGTTCACTCGGCCGCCGTTGCACTTTAATTCCCCCGCCGTAGTAGCCTATGTTTCTTCTCACGCCCGCATTCTGAGAGCGACTATGCGGCTGGAGGGCTTCTCATGCGCTGACTTGAACTGACATGAAACGATCTTACATGCGTAGTCTCCCGTGGTCACGACTGGCCGATCCGAGCGGAGTTTTACAACCGCCCTGTTTATTTATTCATTGCTGCGGGTTTCTCCTCTGGGCGCAAAGAAAATCCGGGATCATTATTCTTCCTCGCTCTGCTGATTCCTCTCCGTTCGCGCGGTATCACACCGTTCAGACTCTGCTGTTGCGCACCCGTCTTTCCTCTCACAGATTCTGGGGAGATTGCGAACAGAAAGCAAGACGAGGACGAAGGAGGCAACTCTGTGCCTCTGGAAAGCGCGCGTGAACGCAGCGGGATAAGTGGGGATTAATCTGCTTAACAATATTTGGTTTATGATGGCCGTGTGCTCATTATTTTGTGCTTATTTATTTCCAGTGTTACCCAGCAACGTGAGATTTTTATCTTGGACGCGAGTAGGGCTTAGTTATCATCACGCCCTTCTGTATGACGTTTGAAATCAAAAATGCTGTCCTTCGTGTGTTTATTAACTCTTTACATGAAGTGCCCAATCAACACGCAGTGTCCCTCTTGGACCGCGACTGAAAAAGAATAGCGTAGGGATCAAATGGAGAACACTTTAGATGAATTTGAAGTGAGTGCATCCTGCTGACACATTCTTGTGTTAAATCACATTAGCGGAGACATCTCAGCAGTTGTACTGATGTAATGTTGGCCTGGTTCCTGGTCTTGCAGTGAGTCTATGGTGAAAACACAGGATGCGTGAACTGCAGTGGCGACTTGCAACCAGCAGAGGTAGCGGTTTCGCCAAACATACGATTTAGCTGTAATTCGTTCACAGAAATGCATTCTGTAAAGTCACCACAACTGCCATATTTCCCAGGGTTTCTGCAGGTCTTAAAGGCAGAGTAAGTGATTTCTGGTAGCCAATGTTGATATTTGAAATCACCAAAACAAACACACCCCTACCCCAAAAGGGTCTTGCCCCTATTAATTCAAAGTCTTGAAAAACGGAGCAAAATTAAGTGAGTTTAAAACAAGAAAAATATCTGTATGTGAGGTATGGCAGATATTATTGTTTTAATCATAAACCTACTTAATTTGATCAATTTCACAAAAATTTGCTTCTCAAGTAAATGTAATGTATCTTGATTTAAGAATCTTGAGACATTTGCACTGTATTTTATGTATAATCATTTTTATTCTCAACTTTGAATTCATTTTAAATAATTTTACATTCCTTGTTTTATTGTTGTGATAATTTTTTATGATTATTTTAATTCCTTTTATATGCAAAGCGCTTTGAATTACCATTGTGTATGAAATGTGCTATATAAATAAACTGCCTTTGCACTGAAAAACAAGGCAACAGTAGGCTACTGAGGAAAAACACAATTTTTGCAGTGTGTTCAGGAGTTTGTAAAAGGTATTTCCATATTGGTTGGGAACACGGGTATTCAAGCATTTTTTTTTTTTATTAATTGAAAAGTAATCTGTTGGAAGTTGTATTTTCAAACTTTCAAAAGGTGTTGCTAATTTTCTACCATTTTCAAAACTCGTTTCCATAAACATTTACATTTAGAGTACATGTGTTGTGTTCCCTTCAATTTATTTTTATTTTTTTACTTGGTCTTAAAACGGTCTTTGAAAAGTCATAAATTTACCTCAATAAAACATACAGAAACCCTGTTTTTGATGTTTCTGTATACATTAGTTTACCATTATGTTAAAATGTGTAAACTGAGTTTATGTTGTAGTAGAGGACTTGCTACTACTTTGTTTACATCAATAGACAGGGAGAGAGATCAATGTTGGTAAAGGCTTAATTTAGCCTGCATATGTTAGACGTAATAGGTGTACAGTTGCTGCATGGGATTATTTTAAATTTACATCTCTGACTCGCAGCTTTTGCCTGTGTTTCGGTTTGGGCTTGATTGCTTTCACTGCTGTCAGGTGGGGCTTTCTTATGAACAACAGGTCTAACCGGGACAAGTATGGATAAGCTGCTAGCAGATTTAGTGACAAAAGCAGTGTGGTTTTGTTGACACGTGATGTTAGAAACTGTGGGGAACACTCCCTGAAAAACCCTTCATCTGAAACTGGGATGTGGAGGGATAATCATTCACTTGTCTTTTCGTTATGAAATAAATGACTAGGCAATATGAGACTAAAGCAAAATGCTTAAAACAAGATATTTTTTAGTAAAAGACATTTGGTCACCTAAAACATAAATAATCAGTAATAACATTAGAAGTATACTAAATAAGTGTTAATCTCTCCTGAATTTGTCGGTGCACCAAAATCCGAATCCCGGAAATAAAGTGCGCTCGCGCGAAGGGGGGTGGACCAACTGTGGCACATTCAAGAGCGAAAAAAAAGTTCTCCTGCGAAGTGCGAGCAAGTTTAGTCTCTCAAGGGAAACGAACACGGACATGCCGTTTGATGAGCTGAAGCACATATCGATGTATAAACTACTAATAAACGGATGAAATGCGCAGAATGGAACGTGTAATGAAAGCGTGCTCTTGAAAATTTAATAAGAGATGAGGCCATATTTATCGGTACGGTTTACTTAATTTTCTTTTACCAGTAACTTTACTCGTTCTTTTTATATTTATGCTATTCACGAATTATTTTTATTTTATTTCTGTGACTCGTCGTTCAAGTGAATTACCGGGGAAACACAAACTTGGGTTTAGTTTTGAGAAGATGCTTTTTGCTTTCACAAGGTAACACCCGACTGATGTTTATAGCGAACCCATCCAATGGAAACGACTGGTTTAATTCATCTTTTCTAAACGAAGACTGATGTTGTCAACACCAGTGGTCTCACAGCGTTGGACGTTCACAGCGTAAAGGAACTCTCTTAGGGCACACCACATAAAGAACTGTGAGGAATTAAAAGAATAGTTCGCATCGACTGGGTTCTTTGTAATTACCAAAATGACCGTCAAACTGGATTTTGAAGAATGCCTAAAAGACTCCCCGCGATTCAGGTAAGCTACTCTGTTTTTTAATATCAAATATTATAAATATATATATATATATATACACACACACACACACACACACAAGACAGGTCACGTGCACCACATTAAAATGATCAACTTCACTGTCATATGCAGAAGGAATGACGTAGCAGGTTTCTTTCCAAGCAGTTCCAGGATCAGGTCAATGAGTTCAGCTTAATGGTTTTGGCCCAGACGTGCTTGATTAAAACTGATCTCAGATCAGCCCTGAATGTAGCCGCAACGGTTAGTGTAGCGCACAGCACTGGAAAGAATTTGCTTAGGTCCATACAGAAGGAATGAATGGGATGATGATTAAGTGGCTCTGTGGACAGCAGGAGGGGAATTTTTTTTTACTCTGATGGCCTTTTTTTTTACCATTTACGTGAATATATAATGCTATTATATATTGTCTAGAAAATAATTTTTTTAAAGGATATAAGAATAAAACGTTTTGAGTTGTTTTAAAATCACTATTCGACTTGAAAGTTTCTTTCTTTCTTTCTTTCTCTGGTTTGGCTGGAGATTTTAGTGGGCAGCATAATGGAAAGTTTGAGTGCCATGTTTTAGTGGCTGCCGAGGGAACAGACTCAGAGGGTGTAGTGAGTTCAAAAATTAGGTCATCACCACTCAGAAATGTACTTGTATAAACACACAATATCCCTTTTCATCTGTCATATGCGGATCTAAACATACAGAACATGTGGAACATATCTACAACAAATGTACAGCCGCGCATGGACGCTTTTGACCTTCATACACTGAATGCAACTGAAAAGAAAGAGTTTGCATGAAGGTGTAAGAAGGCCACTGGCTTGAACACATTCGAGGCCTAGTTTACTTCAGACTGCGGCTTCCTCCGGTTGCTAAGTGACGGCTGGGTAGTGGTGGGGGAGCAGGAAGTGAGACGAGAGATACTGAAATGATAAACAGGAGACAGGAAGTGTGTTTTAGGGGTGGATTGCTTCAGAAGCTACAACTTTTTCTTCAATACACACACACATTTATGCACAAAAAAGTGCGTTTATGATGCATACACATCCATGTAAGCTCACATTAAGGCTGGAGTACACTACAGATTCTAAAACACTAGGCATTATACACTTACCAACTTTGTTAATGGTTACAGAAACTGGGCATCATAGACTAAACGACTGAAGATCACACACAAATTTGAATCATGTCGACCACAATCCTCTTTGCTAGGAGATGCATGATTATTGAAAACAATGTGTGTTTAAAAAATGTCTTGACATCTCAAACATGCTTAATATTCTCCAACTGGATATAATCGTAGTCTGAAGCTAAAAAAATCAGAGTCTGTGATCATCATACACTATGCAATTTTCTGTGAAATCTGTCAGCTTTGCAGACTTTCAGCAACTAGCGTTGACTCGCCTAGACTGTAAATTGGAGCAAAAATCATATAGTGTTTTCCAGGCTTTACTTAAAGGTCCCATATTGTCAAAACTGAAATTTCCTGGCTTTTTTCACGATAACTGAGATCTAGGTGCTATGTAACTACCATATAAGTTTCAAAACAGTCAGTCCACAGTAAAATGCACACAGCCTGCATAAAGTAGCTGTTGTGACTTCCGTAAAAAGTTGACGTCAGAACTACACAGTCACCACCTTCAGT